CTTTATTGATGCTAATTAAGGAACACGTTCGTGGTAGTTATTTCCGAAATTTACTAAAAATGGCATTTGTGCTTGATACCTTTTTCTTTTTATTCTCATGATTATTTATTATAGCCCTGGAATGGTATAAATATCAAACAAACAACAATACCCTTTATGATTCATATTATCGTAATAAGACACGAATGTCATCAAATGACTTGGGATGGCGTATAACTAATCCGAAATTATACTTATTCACGTTCTAGAAGGGACGAATTGAATCTTCAATGGGGAAATGAAATGCAAACGTATCCGATGTTCCGAAATTATTATAATTATATAATTGTAGAAATTGAATCATGCACGAATGACATGGTAATTAATTTCTGATATAAACAATGAAATAGAATGTATGATGTATCACCTTAGTGCATGATGATTTCGTACCGAATAACATGAATACCGTATTTCATTCATGATTAAACCTGAATCCAATTCTAACATTTGAGGATTTAAACATGATTAAAATTTTTCATACTAAATTAATTGGTTAATCACCCTTTAATTCTCCCTGTTCTACCTTTTAGTAAATTTGTGCACTTACATTGTCACCCAATGAATTTATTGGTCTTAGGTTCCTAGTATGATTTGTTATAACACAACATTTTTTATTTTATGCAGGGATTTTATTGTTGGGATAGTTAATGGGAAGTTGACAGATTAATTAATCTTATTATTGTTTAATTATCGTGTTACCAAGTGTAGGAGATGAATAAGCAGATCCCATCTTCACAAGACAATGAGCATTTCGTGTAACCATTCTCTTAAATTTGTGTAACGGTAATCATTATATATACAAATGTTACATTATGAAAAGAAATGATGATATTTTTGCATTGTTAATAAAATATAATTTCTATATTTGATAAACAGTGCTAATCTTATAATTCTTAATGGTTCCCCGCCAAAAGTTCAAGACGTACCAAAGGAAAATTATTGAAAGCCAAATGGTCATTTTTTTATTATTTTAGTGGTGTGCACCAAATTACATTTGAAAGGACCATCTTTGGAAATAATGTCAAATTTTAAGAGTTTGTTGACACTTTCATGAAAAAGACAAAGCGTATGCATTAAAACAGAAATAATCCCTTTGTATTGAGAATTTAGAATAATTAATTCGCATTAATTTTTAATAAGCAGAATCTATATTAAAAAAAAACCGGATATTTTTTTTATAAACATAACGATAAATAAATAAAATTAATTAAAATTGTAAAAAGTCGTAATCAAGATTTGTGATTCCGACCATTTTTATTTGTTCTAAACATTTTTATTTTGTGAAATGAACTTTGGCACCAAAAAATTTAAGGCTGTAATTATCTGCATTGTTATGGTACTTCGTCTTTTTTTGATAGGTAAAACTTTTGGATGATTTAATGTTTAAACTTTTTGTTTGTTAAAAAAAAATAAAAAGATTAATAGTTAAAAAAAATATATTATCCTGTGAAATTTGTACACCTGATGTGGGGTAGCGCCATAACCAAACATTAAAGGAATTGATTGGAGACTTTTCTCACATTGTTAATTCAAAACATTTAAGTTCACGTAAAATCCGAAGTCATGAATCATTGTCTTGTTCCTTGTAACATAGCTCGAATACCAATTAAAGGATATCTTATTCAGATGACAAAGCTGTCATTTTTAATAAATCAAATGGTGTTAATTGAATGCATGGTCTTCAAAAAAAAAAAAAAATAAAATAAAATAAAATAAAATGAGCGATTGCTAACAACGACATTTTTCAAAATTGTCTTATTGAAAGCCACAAGATAAAAAAGGAAAAAAAAAAAAACAAGGCAAGTTCCTTGTTTAAAACTTAGCTGAAAAAATTTCTATATGTCCGAATATATCGAAGAGAAATTTACTTTTATAATTTCATGCATCAATTTGCAGGTGATGTCAAAAGTATTTTACATTTTTCGAACCAATGATTTATCATTGTCCTGCATGGTAAATTTCATGATTTTTGGTCACGTATTATAACGTATAATTTGAAACCCTAAGGTTAATTGGCAATTTATACATTCGGATTCAATTCAAATAAATGAGGATATTCATGCACCCTTAAATATTCAAGGGATGTTTTTGTTATAAAGAAATTTTTTTTTATTAAAGTTCCTAAAGTTGTGATATTAGCACGACATGTTTTTTTTTTTTAGCCCAACTAATTACTCCAATTAAAGATCGATCCAAGAGTCATATGATTGTCATATTATGAATGTTGGGAAACGTTTTTATTTGTTTTAACAAATAATCCATCTTTATTTATTGAAACATTAAAATAGTATTGATTAAAAAAAAAAATGAAATTAATTATGACAGAGTTTTCTAAATCACGCATGAAGTAACCTGGTAAGGATAGCGCGACAATAAATTATTGCCTTTTGAACAACCACCTTTACAATGTAATGCATTGAATAAATGGTATAAAAGTTTTTATAGACAATGCCTAAGAATTTCTGATTTATGCAAGTTTTATAATGATATTTATATATATATAGCGTATCACTGAATAATACTCCAAGTTTTTTTTTTTAAAAAAAAAAATCTGTAAAATTACGTACCATTTTTTTTGGCGGCAAATCAGACTTTTAGGTTGATTCTTTTTTAAGAAAAAAGGAAAAATGCAAATTCCATTGCAGAAAATTTTAAAATATATATGAATAATTTAAAAAAAAAAAAAAAAAAATTGAAATGAAACTCGTGTTACATCTAATTTTTTTTTTTTATACATATATAGTACTATAAATGTTTTATACTAAACGCGCTTTTAAATTAAAGAAAATTATATAAAATTTAAGAATAAAAAAAATTTTCTCAACTTTGTAAATGAAAAAAAATATAAATATCACCATTTTAAATTCTTTTTTTTTTTTGGTTCTTGTATCCGATTTTTTCGATAATATTATATGAGTGTGTGTTGTATCTATCTATATATATTTATATAAAAAAAAAACCATTTATAGTACTGCGCCGCGCATACCAGAAAATTCTTTTTTTCGTTTTTTTTTGGATTAATAAAAAAAAAAAAGAGTAAATATAAAAAAAAAACCAAACGCTTTACTGGATAATTTTCCTGTAATATATTTCAAGTTCTTTTCCTGTTTTTCTAATTATTCTTTTCCTTAAATTTTTTTTTCTTTCCTTTTTTCTAACCAAGAACAAAAAAAAAAATTTATTTTTTTTATTAAAAAAAAAAAAAAAATAAGTCAAAGGAAAAAAATCCAACGAAACACTTAGGCTCGTTCCAACCCGTGTCTTGTTTCGCTACACGTAAGATAACTTTTAAATGTCTACAACTACAGCTCCCTCTGGGGGGAAGAGACCAACGCCTGGGTCAGCGGATACTCCAATACGAGATAAAAGATTAAAGACTATCGCGTGTGATAGGTGTAGAAGACGCAAGGTTGTTTAAAAAAACACGAAATTTATTTTTCGCTCTTGAAAAAATGTTTCTACGAGAACGCTCTGAAAGCTTCTTTGCGCATAAAAGATATTTTTTCCTTAATGTTTTTATATTACTCTATAAATTAATTTAATTCTTTTAGGTTAAATGCGATGGTGACGGTTATAATCAAACACCATGCAAGTATTGTGTTTCGGTTAAATTGGAATGCACTTATGGCCAAAAATCAGGACGCACATCCGGTGTCAGCAATCAATCCAATCAATCATCACCCTCTAAGGCCATTACTACCCCTTCTAAACAAACGAGCCGAAATCCTACACGATCGAAATTAACTTCTACCATGACTAATAATATTGATATCGTTCCGGTAGCACCAAGCATCTCAGTGGCTCCTACGAGTCGTCAACGAAAAGCAGGTTCTAATCAAAATATCAAACCAAATACAAAAAGATCAACAACTTCCACAAATGCAAATCGCCAACAAAGAATTATCCCACAAGTTTTACCTGCTATGGGTGCAAAAGGGAATGAATTTGAATACGCTGTCAAATTATTTGCGTCGGTCACTCTACAAAATGAAAATCAAGTACGACAACAACTTGGTCCTTATGTCCAAACATCCCAAGTTGAAAAATCGTCTCCGAACCCACAAACCAGTCTTGCACTATTAGAAGATACTCAACTTATTGAACATTTAGTGGACTTATATTTCAAGAATTGTCATCCACTTTTGCCTGTGTTACATAAGGCCTACTTTATGAGAAGATTTCAGGATAAAAGTAAATCTATGTCCCCACTTTTATTATATGCTGTATGTGCTATCGGATCAAGTTATTCCAATAATCCTGCTGCAAGAAAGGATCGGGATAATCCACATACAGTTGGCTTGGCTTTCTACGAAGGTGCTCAAGGTAAAATGATTTTTTTATTATAATCAGTATAAATTATTTACATATAAAAAAAAAAAAAAATTTGGGAGCATAGTAAAAGGGAAAAAAAAGGGGGGAAATAAGGGGCAAGGTAATCAAAATGGATTAGTCAGAAATTTATTACTGTAAAACTGTGTAATATTTAATATATATATATAATATTCTTTGAAGCATGTAAATAAAAATATATATATAATTTTTTTTTTTATGTAGAAATGGTTAATCATTATTTTGATTCGCCTCGTCTTAGTACTGCTACAGCGCTCTTCCTGTTGGGTATATTTGATGCTTTACGTAGTTTAAAAAGCCATATATATGTTGGTATGGCTACCACATTGGCTATTACAATGCGGCTTCATGATAAAAATGCATTCTCAGAAACCTTATCTAATCATGAAAGTGAAGCAAGAAAGAGGGTAATTATTTAATCTTTTTTTTTCTTAAATTCTACAAAAGAAGAAGAAGGCTTTTTTTTTTTTTTTTTTTTTTTTTTTCCTGTTTAAAAGGCTTAATGTTTATATTTTGGGAAATTATTTACTAATTAATTCCTTTATTTGTAATTTAAGTTGTGGTGGGGTATTTCGATAGCAAATCATTTACAATGCATTTCATTGAATAGAATGTTAGCATTTGAAGATAAGCATTGCACAATCGAACATCCTAATCAAACCATGGGTGATGATGATACAGAATGCAAAATCATAGTATATTTTGGACATTATTTGACGATCACCAAAATTATGTACGATATTCTTGAAATTACTTTGAGTGACAATGAAGTAGATTTCGATATATTACAAGAAAGGTTAGATACATGGAAGAGGGAATTACCTTCCTTCTTAAAGATCGAAGAAGCCAAGAAACTTGA